TACTAAGCATGAATTACACAACATAAGTCGTTTCAACCACTACCGTAAATATGATGCCTTGCAACATCGGATGAAATTTTAAATCGTTTATAACTTGATTAATTTGTGTCGTATTTCGCTTCTGTCAGTTTTTATATTAGGTCCTTAAATCTCTCATAGGTAGGTAGTTTTTTTTAAATTTATTTATTTATTTATCGATTTTTCATTAGGGGCCTACTTTAAAACCATCCGGGTTGTCTTCATTGACCATATTGTTATCGAGAATTTGTGCGCTGTCTGTCTAAATATCGGTTTCAATTCGAAAATTAAAAAAAGGAATTTACTTTAACGTCAGTCGTCAAGCAATCTTTTGGCGTTCGGGGCTTACACTTACACATTATAAATTGTAGCAATTTAAACAACAAAACAATCAAAACTAAGCATCCCCCTTCAGTAAGTAGGCTACAGGTACGTTACACAGCAACAACAGTATCGAGAACATGCTAATTGGTGATGTTTGTGTATCATTTTGAATGGCTGAGAGAAGGACTTTTGGTTGAGCGGACGGGACGCCGGGACAAGGCGTTGGATGGAAGAATTGGGCCTTGTTGTCCATGTATTTGAGCGAGCATTGCTCTCATGTTCATTGATAAAACATTAAAATGGAAATAATTAATGGGCTATAACATATATTTGAGGTTCCATTACATTTGAACCCACGTACATTTGAACCCATGACAATTGCACCTGTATGCTATTGCACCTATGGAATTTTTTTTTGTTTCACGGATAGTTAAACCCATACTAACCCTAACCCATGGGTTTTAGCACCCGCATATAGATTGAACCCGTGGGTATACGCATGGGTTCAAATGTACGGTCACCATATTTGAGTATCAGTTTACTTGAGGAAACCATGGAGTGTGCCCATTCCCTCAACTAAAAGTGGGAACTGATATAGAAGAGTGCTAAGTCCAGAAACATAGGACCACCAGGACGAGAGGTATGGTTCGCCATATTATCTGTCACCATATGATTGAGACGTCTTGTCGGCTTTCCTCTCCCCGGGATAAATATGTAAATCTTATCCTATCATGACTTAATACTGTCAGGTAAACAGATGGGTTGAAGAAAAACATCGTTGGACTAGATTGCACTATATTATGTAACCTTTTTCGCAATAGCAGTATCGGTACCGGTAAGGGTTTTCTTTAATTGCATTATATATTGCCCATACATATTTAAAGGAAAACCTGTTCTGACCAGACTGCATTATTATTACAATATCTTTTAGCAATACCGATAAGGGTGTTCTTCACTTGCATTGTACCACCTTGTATATCTGTATATAAGTACCAGGTACAATTAGTCCTTTTCCTGTTATGATTCATACTCTATACTCAAGACTACTTTCAGTAAAACAACTTTTCTCAAAATGTCGTCAACAACTTGATAATATAGTTTATGTACATATTTGCCAGAACCACCCAGGTTGTAAACAAGTATCAGATAGATCTGGCTTGTTCTGGTAATGCCTTGACAAATAGTAGATTGAAAGGGTTCTGGTGTCAGATGTTGTGCAATCCTATTACTAGCCTACTTTGTATGTAAGGAGAAAAAGACATGTCACAACATGGTGTCAGGAGCCACCAATAAAAAGAGAGAATATATTATTGCACAACTTACAAATAACTAGGAAGAGCAGGATAGGATTTGAAATCTACTCTAAATGCATATTTTCATATAAACATTCGTTTCATATTTCCATTATGTACCGTGCCTACTTAAAATAAGACCTAGCCAATTTATAATAAGCCCGCCCTCTAAAATAAGACCTAGTCGAAAGCAAATTTTTTTTTAACTAGTCGATAGGAAGAAATCTATTCTACACGTTTCAAATGAATAATAATCTATGTTTAGCAGTTATTTTAAATAAAAACAGGTTATAATTCAAGTAAATGGATATCGGTTTTCATATTATATATATTTCAAAATCTTGTAATTCTCTACTTTGTAATTTTGTTTTCTATAAATAGAAATGAAATACATCCCCAAAAATAAGCACTAATGTTTTTTTTTTTGAAGAAAATCAAAATAATACCCTGTCTTATTTTTGGAGAAACACAGTATGAATTGAGCTTTCCTGTAAACAAACTAATATACCGTATTCGCTCGTTTTGTAGCCCGGGCCCATATTTTTTTAACCAAACTCACTAACCGGGCCCTTATTCAAACCGGCTCTTATTCAAGCACAGGCGCTTGTTATTTTTAAAGTAAAATTATACACAAGTCACATATAGATAAGATCGATCGTTACATTAATTAATATATTGTCATTTCCAGTTCTCAAGCATAATTCAAACGAGAATAACGAAAATTTAGACTTTTTTTACGCACTGCAGGTACAAATCCGCAAAGAAGAAAAATTTTGCGCCGCCCTATCAATATTGGAATGACGCCCAGTTGGAGAACCACGGTGTTACGTAATCAATGCTATCTGTTATGTAATTGGACGCCTAAGACGTGAGTGTTATCTACCAGCGCATAAAATTGAACAGCGTTGTGACAAAAGCACTTCTTATTTAATATTGTTCTCTACCACTGAAAAGTCAGCTTTTACATCAGGCGGGTTCAAGCACCGGCCCTTATTTATTTTTATGTTCTGTTCACACGGGCGGCTATTCAAACGGGCCCTTAATCAAGATCGGGCGTTAAAACGAGCATATACGGTATGCTGTATAGACTATTTCAAAACCAGAAATATTGGACGCCATAAAATCGCTATTTTGTGAACAGAAATTAAAGTTGCAAAGGGGGATGTAACGAAATACTTTAAGCAAAGGCTCCTAGCTACCAGTTTTATTTTCATAGAAACACGGTTGCTCCAAGTAAGGATTTAGACAAGCTATTACTGCTAGATAAAAAGCTTCTATATATTAGAAATATCTCGATCTTTTTTCCATTGAAACATATATTTCCAGATTGTTAACCGTAAGTTTGGTCATGCTTTGCTAAAGGACCAAATGGGACACCTTTATAGTAAGTAGCACATCAAGATTCTTAATCATGACCAACCAAGAGAGTTTGAAGTTTTTTGGGGTGAAAGTTTCAAACTTTTCATATCTTCGTTTATTCCAGGCTTCCTCACGGGAGATGAATTCTTAATTGATTTAAGGGAGTAAATTTGGTACTACCGAAGTATGTGAACCAATATGGCGGACACCGGAACAAAGTATATGTACCAAGTTAGGACATAATTTTATTCCAATTTGCCTTATTTTAGTTCTATTACCAATTGGGATTTGGGAACCAATGTTTTATTCAGTGAGCAAGCTATAGTTGGTCGGTCACTATTGAAAATTTTAATGCAACATCGCTACATACAGTAAAAACATATGAAATTCTATTTAATCTTTGTGATTTGGTATGCATCCTAAATGAGACAGTTCAATCGTATGGCAAACCCATGGCATCGTTTCCAATTTTAGTCGATATGGGGATAGTTGACGGGTAAATTGTTCCAAATTCATGGACTCTAATCAATCATTGGTTATATTAACCCTGTTATGGCGAGTATTCCAGCAAGCCTCTTATGCATAATCATAGGATAGGATTTTTCATATGTATTCCAGGGGAAGGCTGTTCAGGCGGCTCAATAATATGGCAAATAACAGGCATTTGCGTGGACTTATTCTCCCCATAATTTGAGATTCGAACCCAAGCGGGGCCTTCTGCGATGCAATAGCAAGGGTGTTCCCAACACTTAGTAGAATGCTCCAACTGTCGAGCTTTAAGCAAACCATGATGTAACTTAAAATTAACAATCCAAAAAAATTACATACCGTAGTACGTTGATAACGGTCACCCGTTACTTTAACGAGTTTAATAAAACTAAACAGAAAATTCTGGAGATTGACGATGAATTAAAAAGACTGTCACTCGACAATTTGTTTTATAAGAAAATGGGTACTCCCGTAGTAGGTGAACCAAGATGACGGACACCAGAACGTAATATGTGTACCAGGATAAGGTTAAACCATAATATTATTCCAATTTCACTTATTTTGGTTCTATTACGAGTTCGGGGACAAGCCCGGTGACTCCAGTGGTATTCGTACCTAAAGTTATGGCTTAACCCTAACCTGGTACACATACTACGTCCCGGTGTCCACCATCTTGGTTCACATACTACGGGAACATGAGTACCGGAAAATGACCTCAGAGGATGGTCACACGAATTTACTTAGAAGTAAAGAAGCAAAGTTAGGGATATACATAGTTACAGTGACAGATTACAATTAGTTGGAGTTCTACTAATGGTAAACAGAAACAGCTCACAGCGTGAAATAAAAAAATTAGCCCAGAGCAAAGTTGCGGTAAACTCACTCAGAGGTAGCAAAAAAGTATCTTCGAAGTTACAGTAGTGAATTTCAAATACCAGCAGAGTTAGTTTTTAAAAGTTTTCCAGCCTGGTAAGAACAGTTTTACGTTTTACCCAGTGGTCACATGCTAACATGTTCTTGGAATGTTATGGTAATCGACAAAGTTGTATACACGATTAGCGCAATATTTGGTGTTTTGAAAGTTAGGTATTAGACAAGTAGTTCTCAAACTTTCTTTGCCCCCCCTCCTTCTTAAAAATTTGTCAAGTCTCGCGCCCCACCTCAAAACTAACTACCGGTAGCTAGGAATAAGCTACTTACTACAGATAGTAAGGAGAAAGTATTTTTTAATAATAAAAAACACTACGTGGAAGGAACATAAATATTAAAAATAAAGAAATATAAATATGCAAAATAATGCGGGCAAGATCAAATCTTACAATTAGCTTTGTGCCCACTCGAAAAAATTGTCTAGCACCCAACCCCCATTTGTGGAATGCGCTCCTTCGTTTGAGAACCCCTGTATTATACATAATCATAGTGACACACTTATGTTTTTTGTTGTTAGTGAGTTTGATTCAAAAGAGAACCTGTTTTTATAATTTTTTGAAATCTAGCTAAATACTAGTCAAATCTCACCAAATTTTTCGTATATGTTGACAATCCGATTGATGCCATTTTCTTTCAAACACACTTCTAGCTAGTTGTTCAGTTATTTGCAGAGTTATTCCGCAACTAAAAATATGAAAATAAAAATGATAGAAACACAATCACTTTATACTGTGAAAATATGACTGAAATAGTGCAGTGCAAAGTAGTATTAATGATGTAATTAAAAAAATATAAATTAATAATTCATTCAATTTAATAATGATTATAATTTAATTAAAAAAATTAATTAATGAAGGTTATAATGAAAGCATGTGAAAATCGAATTATTCCACCATTTATACAAATTAATAACTTTTTGTCCCTTTAGAGGTCAAAGTTGAAAGGTCACAGTGTTTTAATCAGGAAGTTCTTTGAGGAAGAATTAAGAATACTTTGATTGAACGAATCATTTTAATCATTTGATGTCTGGTAGTAGATCAAAAATAGACTTATTTAAATATTCAAAACTTTTCCTCATTTTCAATCCTTTAAATATAAATTTTTCGTGCAAATTTCTGTTGAAAAATGACTAAATTTACAAGATTTTCGACATTTCATACTTTTTAACATTTTTCAGAAGGCGTTTGGAATGTAAATTATTTGTTTCAGCTACTTATGGATATATTTACGCAAGAGTATGCTATGAATTTTTGAAATGCCCAATTTTAACGAGCATATTCTGAGGTATTGATGCTAAAAATTTGTTGCAATTCCAAATTGTTCAACTCAATCTATTACCGTATTTTATGGAATCAATGACAGTAATGTTTTCTGCATGATAGCTATAAGAAAACACATTTTTGAATGATAAAAGAACATTAATGGAGCCGTTTGTAACAAATCATGAACTACTAAAAAAAAGTGTTACAAATTTTATGTTTGTAATCGAGTGATATCATAATTATATCACAGTTATTATTATATTTATATTAACAGATTAACAGAAAAAAACCCCACATCAATTTTTGTTGACTCCAAACCCCACATCAATTTTTGTTGACTCCAAACCCCACATCAATTTTTGTTGACTCCAAACCCCACATCAATTTTTGTTGACTCCAAACCCCACATAAATTTTTGTTGACTCCAAACCCCACATCAATTTTTGTTGACTCCAAACCCCACATAAATTTTTGTTGACTCCAAACCCCACATAAATTTTCGTTGACTCCAAACCCCACATCAATTTTTGTTGACTCCAAACCCCACATAAATTTTTGTTGACTCCAAACCCCACATAAATTTTTGTTGACTCCAAACCCCACATAAATTTTCGTTGACTCCAAACCCCACATAAATTTTTGTTGACTCCAAACCCCACATCAATTTTTGTTGACTCCAAACCCCACATAAATTTTTGTTGACTCCAAACCCCACATAAATTTTTGTTGACTCCAAACCCCACATAAATTTTTGTTGACTCCAAACCCCACATAAATTTTCGTTGACTCCAAACCCCACATAAATTTTTGTTGACTCCAAACCCCACATCAATTTTTGTTGACTCCAAACCCCACATAAATTTTTGTTGACTCCTAACCCCACATAAATTTTTGTTGACTCCAACACCACATAAATTTTTGTCGACCCCAAACCTCACATAAAGTTTCAGCTCCAATTTTAGTTTATGACTCACGGACAATTTCAAGAATCCGATTCCGATAAGTTCATAATCTTAATTCTGAGAGCAAAAATAACAATAACTCAGTATCAGCACTAAACTGCGCCTTCATTTAATATTCTAGATATTGGTTCAGAAAAAAGGACTTATACCAACATCCAGACTTGCATAAATCCTTCGACGGCTCAGACTATGGTGATCTCCAATTTCAGAAGTCAGCAGTTTTCTTAAAAAAATTCGTCATAGCCATGTAGCCTAAGCATGTTATTTTGACTCGTAATCACCGTAATTAGCATGAATGATAAAAACAATAACAAAAACATGATTGGAGGCATCACACAGTTCGATAACCAGTCTTGGTGTCTCGCACCTTTCTTCACCCCGAAGTACAATTTTATTTCTTTTTTTGTATTGTTTATACACAATGTGTACTTTAGAATGGTGGATAAATAATTACTGATTGCCATTCTTTATGACACCTTTTGTTGGAATGTTCATGAAATATATATAAAGATTCCTGCTGTATGGATAGAAATGGATGGATAGAAATGAATAGAGGATTTTGGGCTATAATTACCAGTTTTCAATTAACTTAATTATTCTCGTGGAATTAACTTACCGGTAGTAGATTTTTGGGTGCTCCCGAAGTATTTGTACCAAGATGGCGCACAACCTGAACATAGTATGTGTACCAGGTTATGGTTCAGGTTGTGCGTCATCTTGGTACACAGATTGTTGTGCATGGTATATGATTTTTTTATTTAAACATTCTATACTGGGTTGGAAACAATCTTAAGCGAAATTCCTACTCACTTTGTTCAGGAGTGCAAAGTGATAATAAAATAATAAGTCAAATGTCAACATTTTCTTTTTAAATTCCCATCTTTTGAGGTGAATCAGTTTAATTCTTAGTGAGATAATAAATAAATGTTGTATAGATATTTTCCACCATTTTAGTGGCATTCTCACATGTTTCCTCTGAACCAGGCTTTGTAGAAGTAGCTCTCAATTTCGAGAGAATTACCGGTACTATATTTGAAAGCCAATTTATTACATTCCGAGTGAGTAAGTAAACACAGTGTTTAGTAACCAGTCAATACAGTTACGGTAGGTCTTATGCTCTGACCAGTATATCATTGAGAGTTGAGACCCTATTGATTTTTCTTTACAATTTCTCTGGGTTGTTATGTTTTGTGCTGATGCTTTACTTTTTTAAAAAATTATGCAGATTTTCTACTAAAATACAGCTCTACTAATTATTTACCAATTGCAATTTGTTGGTAAATAACAATTATGGCAATTATTACTTTCACCAGTACAATTACTTTTGTAGTCAATCTCTAATTTAGTATTCTATTTTAACAGATTAATTTGTTTAGGTCATTCCAAAATAAAAACATAACAATAAAAAAAAAAATTTCAAGCATATTTCAAATAAAAATATAGTTTATTTAGTTTAAAGTTGTTTTAATAAAAAAAAAAAAGTCTGCTTAGTTCAAAGATTTTATCTTCTCTGCAGTAAAATATTATAAAAGAGCTCGTTGTTTGCTGGGTCGCTTTGTTCCTAAATCAGTGTTAACCAACTTTTTTTTTACCAATTATTAAAAAAATGATGCTTTTATGACATAAATGTGAATGGGAGGTTGCTTGGATATGGGTATTCGCCTTTGTTGTTCATGACTGTGTAAAGCAAAAGCATGAGTAATGCAATTTAAAATAAATTAGCATGATAATGGTGAAAAAGAAGCATGGACATCCAAAAAAAACTCAAACTGCTGTTATATTTATGAGGGTTATGTCGCACAACTTTGTCTTGGGTAAGTAAGGTCTTAAACATGTAGGCTATCCCATCTCTGTTATACTGTTTAATTATTTTGCAGTTGCTGTTGAATTCTTGGTGTGTGTGAATTCTCATGTAGTGTGTGTACCAACTACCAGGTTAGGGTCGGGCCATAATTTTATTCCGATTTTCCTTATTTGAGTTCTATTACGAGTTCGGGGACTGTCTGTGATAGCCAAGTGAGTATACCTCCTGCCTAAAGGGTTTCAGGCCCTTTACACAACGTGATGTACAGTAGGCGAACAAAATTAGTTACTTCATATTGGTACACATACTTCTGGAGCGCCGAATTTTTAGATAAATTAATATCAATAAGGACAACAAATTGAACATTCAAATCGAACTGAATTTTTGTTATATCCAATATATTAAAGTTATGATTTCAGGAGTGATTACAATATTACAATATAAAAATTTATCATTTATCGCACTTGGCTTCGATTTGTCAGACAAAAAATTGATTCGATTTAACTTTTAACTCGGTGAAAAATACAAAATAAAAATTTCCCCTCAGCAGTGTAACCGAAGCCTTTGTACAATCATACACAAACATTGAGTGTTAAATAACTTTTCTTTCCTTTCATAAAAGTAATTAGGAAATTTGAGTTCCATTTTTTGAGGTAACCCTGTTCATTCTGCATTTTCAAAGTCAACTTTTAGGAATTTACATTTATTGAATGTTATTTCTGCCAATTTATCCAATAAACATGACAAAGCTTAAAAATATTCGAAGGAATCCTTCCAGAATGTCTTCAAAAGTTTCAAATTGTTACATTTTGGTCATTTCTGGATAGTAACAAGCTATTTAGATATGAATAATACTAACTACTAGATACCACCAATGGCGAAGCCTAACCTACCTGTAACAATTGACATGTTGACTTTGGATCGCATAAAATCCAGCTCTTGCGAAATGTTCAGAATTGAAGTAAAAGTCTTTATTGAATTGAAAGGAACGCAGACGAGATTCTGTGAAAAAATAAAAAAATGATTGATAGAGTTTAATAGTGAATAAACGATACTCCCGTAGTATGTGGACCAAAAAGGCGGACACTGGAACGTAGACGTAGTGACTCCTGAAATGGCGGACACCGGAACGTAGTGACTCCTGTAGTATGGTACACATACTACGTTCAGGTGTCCACCATCTTGGTTCACATACTACGGGAATACCGAATAAACTACACCTGTCTACTCTTGTAAAATGGTCATTTTAAACGACACTTTTCACTTTATTGACGGACTCTTGATAAGGATTTGCATAAGAGCAGTCACAGACTGGTAGGGACTGCTTTCAGAAATTCCGAAATCTTTATGATTCATTATTACCTAGCTAACCATCGTGTGTCTGAATACTTTGTGTGGGTTCGCAGGTTCTGATCCAGTTGAGACATAATTATGCGCAAGAAGATTGCTGGACTCCCTGATATCGCAGGGTGGTTCATGTACCCACGGGTCGGTTCATCCACCGTCAAATCCATGCAACTGTAAACAATCGACTAATCCCACATCCGACATGGACTGGCTTACCATATAATCAAGCCGTCTTATAGACTTTCCTCTTCCCGGGATAAATATGGAAATTCTATACTAATATGAATAATCTTCAAATAAATAAGTTACCATGTGTTTGAAAATTGCCTGCAGGAGGGAGATAGTTTAAAATCTCTGGTTCATCTTGAATCGTTTCTTTTGTGGTTTCCAGAGCTATATTTTCAATGAGAAGTGAATAGTCCTGCGATTTCTTGAGTCCATCATTGAAGTCCTCGAACATCAAAGTCTTATCAAGTGCCTCTTTGAATGAAAATTCTTGAAATAATAACAACAATAGTTATAATACAAATACTGTGATATGGGCATAGCAGATCAGTAGCCAGGGCTATGACGTCAGAGTTTTGCACATTTTTATTGAAGTCTGAATACCTTTTCAAACTGATATTTAGATCAATTGACATGAGGTATTAATTAATTATAGTACAAGGCAAACCAAATGGAGCAATATAAATAAAATACAAGAAAAAACAGTTAAAACATGCAATGAAATATAATGTAATGTTCATCTCAACCTTCTGACAGAGGGGCAGAGTCTTGTAAATTAGGAAAGGCTTTTGTTCAGTTCAGTTTATGATATAGCTTTTTCCAAGCTGTCACCTTTTAACCTCTGAAGTGCCTTGGGCAATCTTGGAGCTCCGTTGGTTAGCGATGGGCTCACATGATGACTTGTTGGTTTAATTTTCACCGGGGCATCTTGAGTAGTTCCCGCATTCTGACTAAGAGAGTTTTAAGTATCTTCTTTCTCTGCTGGGGATTATTGGTGAGAAATACTTGATACTTGAAGGTCATAAAAATTGTCTGTTTTGTATGTTCACTCTTCTAGAGCCATCTACTCTGATTTTGTACTGTCTGTGAGATAGGATTTCTACAGTCCTACCAGTCGTGTCCAGTGTAGTGGCTTGTTTAGGGCTTGTGATTGTATGTTGTCGCAACTGACAGTGGACAGCACTGCCTTATTATTATTCAGAGAACCGTCAGGTGATGTGCTATCACGAATGATCCTCTTGCCAGTTTTAAGTCCAAGTTGCCCTGTATTTGTCGCAGGGTTGTAACCTCTGAAAATCTTGGGAGCACTGTTGGTTAGTGATGGGCTCACATGCTCACTTCCTGGTTAATTTCTATCAGGGCATCTTGAATAATTCCCGCACTTTGACTGAGAGAGTATTAAGTATCTTCATTTTTCTCCTCGCTGGGGATTGTTGGTGAAAATGGCATGATCGGAGGAGATTGAATAATGATGCAAGGTCATAGATTTCTTGTTTTGTATGGTCACTGTCGCGGAGCCATCTACTGTGTTGTGTTCTTGTACTTGTAAACGATGATGTGATGGAACCTAGCTTATTTCCGCTCTCACTTTTCGGCTGATATAATTTGTTGTGGGTTAGGGTGAAATAAATGTGGATTTACGAGAAAGTAGTGATACATTTGTCTGTGCAAGAGTATTTGAGCTCGGCAAAGACCAACTTCTTGAAGAGGAATGTTCCTGTATTGTAGGATTGCCCATACCTCATTATTATTATTCAGAGAACCGTCAGGTGATGTGCTATCATGAAAGATCCGCTTGGCAATTGGAGACAAGTGACACGTTTTGTTTCGAAGGAGTCCTGTTTCGCTGTCTCAATCAGTAATTGTTTTAATTGTTCAAATATTTTTCACAGAGCGCCATCTCAGTAAAATTTTGTGTTTGGCTTTACGAGTTCACAAAAAGGTAGCATTATGTTGCTACACCATATTTATGAAAAAAACTCTTCAGCAGTTTTCTCTTTGCAGATATATTTTACAATCAATTGACATGAGATATTAATTATAAAAACAAGGTCCACCAAGTTCAGCAATATAAGTAAAATACAAGAAAAAAACAGTTCATGCAATGGAATATAATAATGCTGGAATAATAGTAATGTTCGCAAGAAAACTGGCTTCAAAACACATAGAATATTTTAGTTTACAACGGAAGATACAATAATCTAAATCTGAAAGGTGCAATTGGCACACTCGCACGCATATTTTTAGTATATCGCTTACCAAATTCTTATGAGGTTCCAGACAAAAAAATCGATCAATTCGTAAGATAGCTTCTAATTCTATAGTCGCTACCTTTATTAAGCTATCGGAATAATTAAAATTATATGAGCAAGCCATGAGGCCTTTTCGACTACAACCTCCAACTACTAATGTTACCAGAGTAACTTACCTAAGGTGAGAAAGAAACCATTATACACCTTACATGGAGAAGGCAAACAAAAATTGGTTAATGACCAAATATAATATGATGGAAATAAAATACTTGTTTTCGTAATCGTTGGATAAAGTAGTCTCATTTGTCCACTGGTATTTCTTTTTTTTGTCTTACCCTGAGAATCAAATTGGGCTTTAAATTCATACTTTTTACTGTCATCACTCTCTTTTTTCAAATCAGTTGATCTGCTAAAAAATCAATTACACATACAAGGTTATACTATAGTCTATAGATACTTTATATAAGTTATACTATAGATTTAGTTAAACTAAAAATAAAATATAATATTTATGTACCATGTATGTAATATGTATTTATGTACACTTTCAATATTTTATTTTAACCTTGCCTGGTCGCCTGACAACACAAGAGACCAAGAATGTAGGACAGAAATTAGGTAGAGTTGCAAATTACAAAGGAGGTGCAAACATAATAGTTAAATGAGCAATCTCGTAACATGATAGGGAACTGTACTCCCGTAGTGTGTGTACCAGGATAGAGTTAGGGCATGATTTAATCAAATTTTAGTTTAATTATGAGTTCTCCAACTCCAAGTGACTATACCCCCTGCCCATAAGTTTCAGTCCCTTTACACAACAAAGTAGGCGAATAAGATTAGTTGCCTTGATATTGGTACTCATACTTCTGGAGTTCCCAACAAACAAGAAGAGATACTCTTCAAGCTTGAGGGCATTATGAATGTGCATTTATGTACTATACTATCATGTATTGTATAAAGACAATAAAGTTTTAAACCGGTCACCCACTGGTCTAACATTTCAGACTTACGGTACTTTCACCTCCATATAATTCTACGAAATTTTATGAAAAGCAACATAATATTCTGCCTGCCACGGTTGATTGACTTATTTAACAAAACAAGGATGTATCATGACCCAAAAATAAACAAGAGAGAATTGAAATGGTCTCGTCTCTCGTGTAGGCTACATACAAGGGAATATATGTAATGTATAGGAACTATTAAACCATGCCATAAATAGAACAGGAAAATGATTAGATTGATAAGGTCAATGTCCGAATTGTGTTGAAAATAAATACAAATCATTATATTTAACATAGGCTAATGATAGCAGGAAGGTGAATGAATCAAAATTCAAATTGTCTATTTTTGCAGTCAAATCATGGTCTACCATAATTCCCTCCATGATAAAATTAGGGATTCAGTTGCATAGTGCTTGGAGCGGTCTTTCTAAACCAGTGGTTCTCAAACGGTGGGGCCTGCCCCACAAGGGTAGACAACTATTTAAGGGGCCGTAAAGCTAATCAGAAATCAATTTTTTTGTCAGATTCGATCTTGTCCGCCTTATGTTGGATATTTATATTTCTTTATTGTTTAAAAATTGGGATTCCATCCACAATTTTCCGACATGTTTTTCGAATAAAACATACTTTCGGCCTACTATTGTTATTTGTAGGTTATTGTTGGATAGTAATTTTTAAGGTGGAGCGGGACACTTGACAAATTCTAAAAAGGGGGCATGGCCTAAAAAGTTTGAGAACTACTGTACTGAACTAAAAAAGTTAATGACTTAGCAGTGGCTGATTGAGCAGAACATTGGTCAGAGCATTATGTCGCATAAAAAAACAATTATTTCAATATTTGGTCGTAATCCCTAAAGTCTTGACAAGTCTGTTGAAGCAAACTCCCTGAACATTCCTAACATTATCTTATGAATATGCCAGCAGTTGGAAATATTCCGCCAGTCTTCCAGCAAACAGTTCATGTAAAGGAATTACCTGAAAAATAGTGTGAAAAATCGATTTAGAATTCATCAAAAACTAAGCTAAAAAGTACCGTATTTTCCAGCTAATAAGAAAATTTTTTGGGCTGATTTTCCTGGATTTTCTGGGCTCAGCTTATTTATAGCAATTAAATCTATAAAAAATATAGCGCAGATCAGTGCTTGAAACTGACAAACAGAAAAAAAGTAACACATTTTTTTCTGCCTCTGCTCACTGGATGACAACATGGAAAAACTCCCATTTTAGTGCTTTTAACCTTATTTGCTGAAAAATACAGTATATAAAATTTACTATTTGGAATTTGTGAGATGCATGGGCTGGCCCAGTGGTTATACAGCGGTGAGCAAAGTTTTTGGAGCAATGGCCAAAAATTTTGTTCACTTGGACTGGCGAGCCATGTAAGTTAGAAATAAAAAGTTACATTTTCTGAACAATATTTACAGTGTTACAAAAGTGGAAAACGATGATTCTCGCGCCAAAACTATAGTTTATCGCAATCTCAACAAATTCCTTGAGCAATTATTCATCTAAAACATCAAAATTTGGTTTTGATTTGGTTGTGGCAGCATCAGGCGGGTCAGATTGAATTACCCAACGGGCCGAATTTGGCCTTGTCCTTTAGCCGCTAATTCACAGATTCAAAGAAAAAAAATTAAAAAAGATTTCAGCAATAAAAATTAGAAGCAAGAATGTTCCATTCAGTAAAAAAAGTACGACCTTCCTGGAATAGAGTGTAGACAACTACCACAAACATAAGGATGGGCAATATAGAATACCGAGTCCGGAGGATTCGAATCCCAAAGTATTCGAATCCAACAGGATCCAATAACAGGATTCGGTTTCCGCCTCTCCAGCGTCATGCGTCAATTGTTTTTATTTCACGTTTCTAATTTATCATTTAAAGACGAGCGTTTTTCCTCGCGTGGAAATCTCTCTCGTTTAATTAAACTTGCGTCTGTTCGCTAAGAACCCGTAAAAATCTAACACTGTAATTGTAATCTCAATTGGCCTATTCTGGACAAAAAAGAAGTCGACGAAGTACACCTCACGGGGAAGACTCGTTGTTGCATCATTTTTGTGTTCTCCTGATTGGCTATCTAGCTAGGGTATGATAATAATAAATATGTGTGCCGACTTACTGACGATATTCCGATAATCTGATTGCAACAATCGAGTTTTCCCCCAAAAAATGATGCATGTAAACCAAAAGCAAGGAGTTAAATGTTACGACATTACTTGCGATTGAATTAAATCAAATATTATTTACGAATAATTCAATCACTTTTATTACACCATTTTCCTAAATACAAAGTTATATCGAAAACACGATAATCTGTCACATTTAAATTTTACTCTCGAAAGATTACATATTTTTCGGTCTGTTTCTATCGTTCAAGATAGACGCACGTTTGATCGAGTGTCTGTAGTATTTTATAGTCGCCAATAAATTTAAAACAAGATGTCGCATCTGGCGAAGATAGTTACGTATTGAGTTTGAGTAGGACCCAGTCTGGGTAGATATTGATATGTAATGATAATCATAGAAAATTAATTCGTCTTTAGATGGTATTACCGTACCGGTACCTAATACGAAATCGCGTTTACGGGAACTTTGTCTTGCAAGTCTTTCTCGCACAGAATAAAAAGTTGATTTTTATCGATAGTGGTTAAATTTAATATTTTACAACGGCCCGCATAGGTTGTAGTGGCCACACGCTGGTCCTGCATCTAATTAATCCTCAGCGGGTGTATTTTAGTACATTAATAATGATTTAATAAACGTGCTGTTTCATATCCATTTTTGTATTTAATTATTAAAGTGTTCAAAGCGTGTCTTAATTTAGCATATCAGTATTTAGGGATTTGGAACAATTTCAGGCGAAAAATATTGTATTAGTCTTAGATTTTATTGTCCTGGGAAATATCTGTTTAGTATCAAATAAAATCCAATGTTAAGGATATTCCCAAACAAATAATATACTTATAGTAATACATTTACAATTTTTAACATCTAAATTCAGCAATTTGGAAAATTCTGAAAGTATGAAAATAGAATAGGATTTGGTATTCTGGATTCGATTTAACTAATCTAGAATATTCTAGACTAGTAAATTATTCTACATTGCCCATCCTTATACAAACATAATTTAATTCTACTTTATCATAATGTGTACCATATTGTATTGCATGATTTAGAGTTTCAGACGTTAAAGAATTTGTTTTTCAAATTTCAACTTTATTAATTTTTACGCCGACAAATTATGACTCATCGAAAAAACTTTACACTGGGGGACACTAGAATTTATTCTAGAAGTTTCTTGGAAATGATGAATAATCGCAAAAAACTTTTGTGTGGGTTATGCAAATTCTTTTCGAACAAATCACCCCGAACCCCAAATTTTAACGGATGGTGACAGATATTTTGCGCTTGTCTAACCATACTGAAGTCAATAATAAAGATGAATGGTCCTCATCAAACTTGAATGGTCTCCCATTATTGTATCCTAAAACAGGAGTTCTTGATCTTTAGATGGAAAAACTATCTTTTATAAACCCCATACCTAACAAGTAACCCATCGAATTGATGGAATGAGTCGATTTTGCGAGTCTTTTCAAAAATATTAACCCCTTAGCATCTTCACTATTAACAAGGCACTACACAAGCATCAACTCTTAACATAGCTCCATGAGGAACCCAAATTAGCTAGCCAATTCCGAGATCACTACGTTATACTGTAACCAAAATGAAGTATAACTACGGTAAATATAAACATGAATATTTCAACAAATGACTATTTCACTCATTTAATTAAATTTAATTTACCGGTAATCAAAAACCTAAACAAATTATTCCAGATTTAATTTAACCTAAGTTTTTGAATTCAAACTATAATAACTTATTAATCTTCGATCTGTATTTTAAAACTTCTGAGAGCCAAGTCAATGCCCAGGTGAAAAAATTTGGAGTTGAAAGAATTTAAGACTGTTGTTAATCGAAGTTGAAATATCCAAAAATAAAATTGGAATTGACGGAGCTTTCTCAACACACTATGAAAAAGCCCAGCCCATACGAAAACTTATGGTGTCACCATTTTTTACATACATGCCCGAAGTTATAGTCGTTTTGTAAAATGTATAGAACAATGGCCGGCAAACTTTATGTACTACAGGGCCAAATAGGCACATTGGCGGTAGCGAGCGGGCCACATTAATTTCTATGTATAGACATTACATACATTAAATTATGACGCACCCTTCACTCCTAGTTAGTAATGTTTAATGTTTAACTTTCGCTTTCGCTAATTACCGTACTACAAAACAGATAATAAATTTATGAGCAATTTTTATTTTTTCGCATCAAAGTGAGGTCGTTTAAGGGTCACAAAAACTTTGTTTAAGGGCCGCAGTTTGCCGATCATTGGTCTAGGATAGCGTTTCCCAATCTTTTTTAGCAACGGAACACTTACGCTTTTTATCTCGCCTCGCGGAACACCAAACATAAAAGATTCAAAATTAATAAAGATAAATGGTATTATGCAGCGGTTCCCAAAGGGTGCACCACAGTGCCGTGGCGAGTTGCCAAATGCGCCGCGAAAACTAACAAAATTGTGTTTAACTTACTGGTAACTAAACTAAGATTAAATATTTTATTTATTGTATTTATTATAAATGTTTTATTGTTTCTTATTTTAAATGCTGTGTATATGAATCATCAAGTTCATTTTACCTTTCTATGTCGTTTACTTTCTATTACGTAGTGTTTGCCTCTAATGTTACGTAGCAATGGAGACAGAAGTGCTTGCTCCAATTTCGCGAGCAGCAATTTATTTAATTGCTGAATCGAATTTAGCGAAAATGAGTGATTTTTCAGCATTTCAAAGTTAAACCAGGCAGAGATGAAATGAGAAGGTTAACGAAAATGCCACTCTCCTCCAAAAGTTAGTCCACTTTAGACCGACGGTGACGCGATATTGAACGATAACCAGTTTGGCGACAACTTCAAGATACTGTGATCGCTATTGCGACCAATTTAGTCATAATTTTGATCCTTTTTCCACGGAACACTCGGAAGACGCTCGAAGAACACTGTTTGGGAAACGCTGGTCCAGAAGTTTGAGTTGAATGTAAAATTTCCTAGTCCCCACAGACAATCTCCTAACTAAAAATTTAAAATGCGATTATTCAATTTCAAAACAAAAAATTCACCTTTTTTCAGTATCTGGCAGTGGATAGTCTTCATGTTGCAATTGAGAATCTGACGCAGGTTTTCCGTGAATGCTCCCAGGATTGTGTTCAGCAATACAACTAGAAAAATTAAAGTTCTCTTCATACTCTGGCGATTGGTGTTCTAATTTCATCGCCGGAGTCTAAAACTATAGCAGTGTATAGTGTGAGTGGGGAATGGACCAGAACCCAAAAGGAGAATTGAATTCTTAATTTATTCCTTAGACCTAGTTGTTTAGATACTTTAAAATGACATAAAGTACACTATAACGATCACAAAATTGAATTTCATTTATAAGATGCACTTTTTTTTTCTTCCTTTGTTCCCTGATAACACGGCATCGTACAAACAAAAAGTTGGGGGCCGCTGGACGTTTTGACTTTATGGCCGTGTAGTCTGAATGAATAGCAATTGGTTATAAAATGACTGCTCATAGTAACAATCTCATAGCTAGCATAGCATGGTTTTACTGATTGTATTGTTTGAACATTTACCTTATTTGACAAATAAAACAAATGCTATTTTTAGCACTGAAAAAGAGGGTTTTCTATATAGCCCTCCAATCTCATAACTGGTAACTGTTTTTACTTTGAAGTATCAATATCAGGCATAAACATCAGCGCATCATTGCACCGGTCACGTTTTTAAAAAGAATGAAAAAAGTAACAGCTGCCAGTACAAAGTTAATTAAATAACACCATTAGCAAACACTTTGGATGTTTGAGAAATCTCATGTTAAAAATAGGCCAACCCCAGAAATAATAGAAAAACATAGTCGCCCAATAAAAAGACCCCCCCGAAAAAAAAATCTGGCCAAAAATTGGGTCCAGAGAAGCGACTGAATAGCCGGGAAATGCGGCCAGTCTCGCATCACAAAGTATTATGCTTTAATCCTTTATAGTCTCAGAAGTCATAATGTTGAAAGTTGTCAAAATTCACTACAACACTGAGTCAGGGAGTCCAAGCCAACATTTTTTCAATCGTGAGTTGAAAGATTAAAAATTTTTCAGTCCTGTCATACAGGCTTTCTTTATTTTTATATATTGCCCTACTTACTGTACTTTACACACCGTTACTCACTATGAAAAAGCCCGACAGAATCCATTCAATACCTAAAACTGAACCTCCTTGGCCTAGTTATATTACCTGCAACAAGGATTGTTTTGATCCGTGTTGAAATCGACACGAACAAAATATGACTGGAGTTGAGCAAATTCATTAAATGAGCTCAGTTGAAATATCAAAAAATAAAATTGGAATTGACAGAGCATTCTCAACACACTATGAAAAAGCTCAGCCCGTATGAAAACTTTTGGTGTCAACATTTTTTTAACCACATGTCCAAAGTTATAGTAGTTTTGTAAAATGTATAGAACAATGGCCGGCAAAGTTTATGTACTACAGGGCCAAATCGGCACATTGGTGGTAGCGTGAGGGCCACAATAATATCTAATATCTCGCAAAGGATATACAACTTTCGCTTACGCCAATTACTACAAAACAGATAATACATTAAATAAAAGAATTTTTTGTTTTTATGCATTAAAAGTAAGATCATTTAAGCCCACAAAACTTTGTTTCAGGGCTGCAAACATAACATTCATTCCCCCAGAAACTATCCCAAAGTCAGTTTCTGACTCCACGGACAAGCTCCTAACTGAAAATTAACAATGTGATTATTCAATTTCAAAACAAAAAATTCACCTTTTTTCATTATCCGATAGTTGATAGTCTTCATGTTGCCAATGAGAATCTGACAAAGGTTTTCCGTGAATGCTCCTAGGCTTGTGTTCAGTTTCACATTCACAACTAGAAAAATTTTAAAGTTCTCTTCATACTCTGGCGATTGATGTTCTAAAGATCATCGCCGGACTCTAAAACTATAGCAGTGTATAGTGTGAGTGGGGAATGGACCATAACCTAAAGGGTGAGCTAAGTGCGTCATAAATTAACAGAATTGTATAAAACAACTAATTATAAATTTTTCCTAATTTGAATGCTGTGTATATGAAACAATAAATTCATTTTACCTTTCAATGTCGTTTACTCTCTGTCACATAGTGTCTGCCCCTATTTTTACGTAACAATAGAGGTAGACACTACAAGCTGCCTTTTCGCAACTGCAGTTTATTTATCTGCCGAACTCAGTTTATCGATAATGAGTGATTTTTTACGCATTAAAAAATGAGGAAGAAGAGTTGATCTTTTAACTTATTCCTCAGGCCTACATGTTTACAAATATTAAAAGGCATAAGGTAAACATTAACTATCACAAAATTGAGTTTTATTTATGAGCATCAACAAAAAGTTCAAGAACCGCTGGCTATATTATAAGTTTTATTTGGATTCTTTGTATGAACAAGTTGGCCATGGTTGCGGTTGCGGGTTTACTGATTGTATTGATCTGAACTGCCTTTAAGACCTGCGTCTCAACTGCGCTCTGAGAGAAATCTCTCTTACTTCTGAATGAATGTGCATGAACAATCAAGGAAAAAAGCAAGTAGCGAACTATTAAGCGATTTTGTCAATGTTTGATTTGAAATGCCAATACAGGTGGATCGATGTTCAGAATGTTTGCATAAACGTTGGAGCCATATTTTCAATTTCCTGGAGTCGAGCTTTTGTAATTAAAATTTGACTTCCTCCGAGTATAAAGCTGGATTGGAAGCAAAAATGTTGGAAATTGGCAAAATTTACCACAACTCCAAGTCAGAAGTTAAAGCCAATTTGTTTGACTCCACAGCCCTGTTATACATGCTTTTTTATTTCTATATATTTCCTTACTAGACTACGAATATACATTGATATAAAGGATTCGCAAATACCTTACCCACATGTTCTCACTATGAAAAAGCCCGGAAGAATCCATTCAATACCTAGTACTGAACCTCATTGGCCTAGTTATATTACCTGCTACAAGGATTGTTTTTATCCGTGATGAAATCGTCACGAACAAAATCTGACTGAGGCAAAGCAGACTGGTCAAATGAACAAACTTTAGAATCGGTCTCTTCTATTTTAGAAAAAGAAAATAGGATTTATGAGAACTCTAATTACTCTCACAAGTTAGGATAGGATTTATCCCAGGGTAGGGGAAAGCCGATATGATGAATTAAGCATATGGCGAACCACGGCATCAGTAAGCCAGTATTATGGGCGCTCCCGAAGTATGTGTACCAAGATGGTACACAACCTGAACCGTAACCGGGTACACATAATGTGTTCAGGTTGTGCGTCACCTTGGTACACATACTTCGGGAGCTCGGTATTATGATATATCTAACATATCAGAAGCTGTTTGCATTTCAGGGATCGCCCATAAATTTGCTTCTATATGAGACTACTTTACTTCTGATTGATTGTACTTGACCTTGCTTTGCACAAAAGGCCTAATTAGAGAAAAATATGCAAAACAGTAAGGATTAAGTTTAGCCCTATATTTAATAGGCCCAAAGTATAAAGCATGAATCCGACCAAAGGCCACTTATGTTTCGAGTAGGTTTTTAAATGGAATTTTAGCGCTCCAGAAGTGTTTATACCAATATGGAGGTAATTAATTTTGTTCATCTACTTTATATCAAGTTGTGTAAAGGCACGGAAACCTACGGACAGGGGGTATATTCACTTGACTAACATAGACAACCCCCGAACTCAGAATAGAACTAAAATATGAAAAATCAGTAAAATTTTGCCTTAACCCTAACCTGGTACACACACTACAGAAAACTGAATTTTCACAAACAACCAGATTTTCATATTTAACCCCGGGGAGATAAAAGTCGATAAGACAGCTTAACCACATGGTGAACCATGGCCTCTTGACTGGTGTGCATATTTAGATATCACATAAATATTCATAAAGTGACGATAAAAATATTTTAGGCAGCTTAATCATATAGAAACTACAGTCTTTCATATATAGCGATCAAGTCATGTCAGGCTTGGAAAAAGCAAACCAATTACTGGTTACATGAAGTCGAATGGCGATGGAAAAATTAACAGACCAGTGTGAAAAGTCAAGCCTTCCTTTTGCACGTAATTATCCTTCAAGAAATAAACCAAATTGAAAGTGTATATCATGATATTGCTCAAACTGAAATAAAAAATCCATCTAATTTACAAACTTTTGATCCCCTTACCTCCAATAGTCTTGTTGCGGACAAAAACCTCTTGTATGACAGTTTTACTCCCTTCTAATGTTGGTTCGAGTACTGGACTCTCTAACTTGCCGATTTCCGGTGATGTTTGTGCTTGTCCAATCTTTTTTGTATCACTTTCGGAGATATTTTCTGTTTTTTCTTCATCCTTTAATATTTGATGTTCGTTGTTGTTTGTTTCCAGGCCTTGATTGTATTTCAAACTTTCGGAGCAGATTTTAATGCCTGTGCTCGATTGACGATTAACCTGCTGTTTTCTTGAGACTATTAGTGTACGACGCTGCTGTTTTTTCCAAGTAAGGTCCGGGACTTGATTATGAAGATGTGTGAATAGTGGTTCTGCTTGATCCAATCCATCTAATATAATAAAAGCTTGACAGTCAGGCTTCAAATACGCATTGCGCAACTCCTGAAGAAATGAATCCAATAAGATTGTTGTCTGGTAGTGAGAGCTTCTCACATTTGTAAACAAAGTGACAAATTTGACACTCTTCCCTTGATTTTTTTCGACATATTTCTTCTCACACAGCTTACAATTGAGTCTGAATAGACTGTTTTCAATTCCTGATGAATTTCTTCTGCAAATCTCTGTATGATCGAACTGAAAAGCCTGTTCCGTAGAAGAAACTACCAGATTGTAATATTTGACATACTTCGTTTGATTGGAGAACAGCAGAAAGAAATTGTAAAAAAAATTAGTGAAGTGGTTCACATGAAATATGAATTCATAATCCAGTATTCTCTGAGTTTTCGCATGTGCACTTTTAATCCAATAGTTGTTATAAACATCATTGATTAATTCTTGTTGAAATAGCAAAACCGAGTTCAGGGAATACTCCAAAGATTTTACGGCATCTTCTCTCATTTTCCAGATATCTTCCAAAGACTTCGAGGCATCTTCTATCACTTTCAAGGCCTCTCCCAAAGACGTTGTGGCATCTTTCCTCACTTTTAAGGCATCTTCCCAATATTTTAGTATCGAGTAAGAATCAAAATCCACATTGGATTCAGCATTTTCAATAGCTTTCGGTTGTGCAGTTTCCAATTGTAATTGTGCTTCCGTTTTTAAATATATCCCAGCAGGGATTTCATCAATAGTATATTCATGTACACATCTTTTATCTCCCCAGCCATACAAAGTTTCAGCGTCTTCCAGAATGTTCTCATTGTTAAACCAACAGCACTGGATATTGGATTTATCGAGAATTTTTTGTATCAATTGAAAATCAATTTTATTTTCTGTGGTGAATTCATAAGAATAGAATAGAGACTCCCATGGATTCTCAAAAAACTTTTTCAAATATATAACATTTGGCTTCTCAGAATAAAGAATCAGACTCTCATTCTGGGTAGTTTTACCAAATTCCCAGCTTACTCTACGATGAGGCGGTCGAGATGTGAGAAAACTTACACTTCGAAGAAGTTCATTATGTGTAGCTTTTAGATTTGTTGAATACAGACCCAGAATCTTATCTTGAGTAGTTTTAACAAATTTCCAGCATACTCCACGATGAGGGGATTGAGATGAAAGGAAATCCACACTTTGCCAAAATTTAAATAGATCATTCAATGCAAGACTTGACTTCATTAAACAGAAACTTCGGACTTCAGTTGTTTCGTGTGATTTCCAGAGAATTTTAGGATGTGGGCTCGTTAACATGACACTTTCACAGGTGAACAAACAACTTGGTAAGCATGGCTGAATGACACAACCTGTGATTTCAGTGAAATAGGAAAAAGCAACAAAAACTCCTTTAGGCTTTTGTTGAACTGCAACACTGCCATAACTACCATCTGAAACAATACTTCTTGAATAATCCTCGGTAAACACCAACTTTTCTGAAAAACTTTGATTTCTTTCTTCATTAAAATTTGAAAATGGATTGTAGTTTGACCTTTCATAAAACATAGAAATCAATTTTCCAAGTGCTTCTGTAACTTCTGGCAAATTACATTTCTCTGCTATAGCACTGTGCAACATTAATTGCTCACATTTCTTTTGATATATTTCAAGATATTTTACCACATCGAGATACATGTCTTCATGCATTGAATTCCTCGTCATGTTTTGAAGAAGCGTAAATGGTTTGAATCTTGGCAATTTCACAGAAAAACCTTCTTCTAAATTCTTCAGTATTCTTTCTATCATGTTCTTAAAACATCTTTGTGTTATACTACCCAATGACATAGGTTGAAATTGTGCTTCATTGTGAAAAATCCTTGAATCCACCCCTGAATTCAATCTGATAACCTTTTTCTGCATCTCCATATTCTCGGGCTTGTACCCCCCTCTTTTTTTTTCAATAACACCAGCTACTTGATAGCTGAATTTCTTCCCGACCACTGTAATAGTTGAATTCTCGTAGTTTCTTGCATCCTCATGGTTTTTTACTTGGTATCGATAAACAATTACTGGCTTAGCAGAATTTCTCATTTGCTTTACAGATCTCTCTTCATTAAGGTGTTCTACTGTGTTTGTACTCGACAAGGCTTGGTGATATCGGTTTTGCCAAATCTCTGAAGGATATTTCGAATTTCCACAAAATTTTTCTCCATCATTTGTGAACATTTCTTGATTACACACTTCTTCCAATTTTCCCTCAAATTCTCCTGTAATTTTTTTGAATTCACAAACACTACGAATATCAGAGTCATCAAACTGAACCTGGTAATTTTCATACTTAGTCTCTTCGGTCATCACACAATTTTCAAAGTCTTGAATTTCTAAACCGGCAAGACTTTTATTCAATCCCCATTTACTTATATTCCTCTCTTGACAGTCTTCCATACTATCTTGACTCATTGAAACCACAGAATTGATATTTAAACAATATACTTGAAAGCTAAAATGTGATTCTTCACTGGAAATGTTGTTCCTTGTAAATTTTGTTACAAATTTTTCGTCAACAAAAATCTTTTTATTTTTTGAATTGCTTCTTTTGTCATTTTCATGATTTTCCATACATTTCCAGTCATCTGTTTCCTCATGGCTTTTAATTTTGAATTGATAACTATCAATTTTCCTAAATTTTGGTTTTATTTCACTTCCATATTTTTCTGCTACATCCTTCTTTGATGAAGAAAAGCAATTTTCATTCACAAGTAACTTGATATTAACTTGATACGAACCGTTCCCATTCAACTGCGAAGGCGCAAAACTCCTATTCACCAAAACAGATCTCAAATTTTTGTTTTCTTTCCTCTTGTCTCTGCTATGGTATGTCTTCTCCACATCGCGAGATGGTTTCTGATGATCTGTCTCCATTCTTTCTGGACAGGAACCTTGATATTTTCTTGCACTACGTTCCATGTAGTCCACGTTCCAAGTCCTTGGTCGTGTTTCTGTATTGTGAGTTGAATTTTCCTTGTCTCCTCTTCCTTTTCTTTCCTCCATATCAGATTCATTCAATTTTGATTCTTTCTTTTCTTTTTCACTTCCCTTTCTAGACAGAATGAAGCAATTCGAATTATTGAAGTTTGAGTTTCCCTTCTGGTAATAGTGAATAGGGTCGGCAACGGAATTGTATCGAACAGAAAAATCATGACGAAAGGTTGTTCTAACGACAACCCTTATCCCAGTACACAATCTATTCTGAATTCCTGGTTTCCTTCGTTTTGAATAGTCCGGATCTGGATCTGGTCTTTCCAGAATGTTTTCACTGTTTTTGAGTTCAATTAATTTCCTCAATGCACATGAGCATCTCTCATCAGGCACCAAAAATGAGACAAAAAGTTCTGACATAGTTGCTTATTTAGGTATTTCTACTGTGTTAGATAAATTTAACACTTAATACTATAGAATAAAAATAACCAAAAACGGATTTCATAAAATAAAGGTCTGACTTGTAATATAGTAATAATATGTTGCTATATAATGATGATTACATGCAGCTCAAATTAAAAAAAAGGTACCAAATTCATAATATAGGGTGTCCATAAAGTCTTAAAATTGCAAATGGAATTCAACGATACCATATACTGTTTTGGCCCTCACCGATGTATTGGATAAAGTAAAAGTACTTGAACAATTACTGATTCAAAACAAAAAACCTGATTAAGAACTGACTTCATAACAAAATTAAATTGTAAAGGAACTTTATGTACACCCTAAATTAGAGCTAAGATCTGAAGTTCGAGCGTTGGGCTTCTCTATCGCTGACCTTTTTTAATGAGGCGTTTTGGCCACAAGAGACCGTGGTCTGCAAAAACAGAAGTTGCCTAATCAACACGAAATATACTGTACTAAACTCTTGCAATGACAATTCAAAGAACTCCTAAATAAAACATCAAATTTTGAGTTTACTTCGGCTAGGGCCTGTAAATACAGTTTATTAGTCGGGCTCGGGTCGTTTTGGGCACTATGTTACCTCGAAGTTGGATGAAGATTTTGAGCAAAACCCTCCTTTATTATGGCCTATTTTTCCACAAAACAATACTGCTATATTTTTTTGCAAACAAAACAATAGAGAATAAAGTTTGTTGAAACATTTGAATGTAGCTATAGATAGTATCCTCGCCACTACTGTATATGGATCTACTACACAAAGGTCTGCGTCTGTTTTTATAATATTACTGGTTGTATTCCTACTACTTGTTTGGTATTACTTAAGCCAAAAAGCTCTAACATTTTTGCTATTTGTGTTTATTCCACAAAGTATATTTTTATATAAGTATAAATGAAGTAAATATACTTAAACAATTACCGAATAAAAAACAACAAACCTGGTTAAGATATATTGAGAACTGACTTCATAACAAAATTGAAATTGTAAAGAGACTATTTGAGACTATGAGACTTTTGTAATTTTTGATTATATTTATCATGGGTTAGGCTACGTATTGCTTTTCTATTAAAAGTTGTTAGCAAAATAAACAGAGGAGGGTGTATCAATAGCCCAACTCGGCATTTCTCGATCTTTTTTGAAACACGGGACACCTACGCATACGATTGTTTGGTGGTTTTCAAAAAATTCCGTCTATGGTAAAATTGAAAAGTTTTATTGAATGTTCAACATAAACGCCATGCTATCCAACCATCTGTCGGAAAAAAAACTAGATCATTTGATCAAATTTCATTCTGAATACCGTGTTCCCCCGAAAATAAGACCCACTCTAAAAAAAAGACCTAGCCTGAATTTTGAAAACGATTTTAATACAAGCCCTAAAATAAGACCCAGTTTATAACGCAACTTTTATTTTGAATAAAACGTGATATTTAAAAGTACGTAGAGGGTTATCGGTTTTCATATTTTGTATATTTGAAAATCTCATAATTCTCTCCATTGTAATTTTGATTTTGAAAATATAAGACATCTCCCGAAAATAAGCCAGTGATATTTTCCGGAAAAAAATTGAATAAGACCCAGTCTTATTTTCAGGGAAACCTGGCAACTGTCCTCTATTTCTATTGTGCATCATCTCTTACTTTGCTATCTGATTCTGAGATAAAACGCTTGCTTTCTGAAAAGGAAAATCTCGCTGTCTTCAAAAGACGAAGACTATCGCCTAGTAAGTTAGTTCTGGATAAAAGATAAAAAAGACATGAACTCAATGGAAAAACCTTTCAGAATGAGTGACGTCAGTATTACTAATGAATAATGCATAGATGTAGGCAAAAAAAAGTATTAAAATAATATCGCCGACTAGACAAAACGTGCTCGTACAAACGACTCAAGTTCGTCCCTTCAATGTATCAAAACAAGCCTTGTTATTACAAAATGTTACGTCCCAAGTTAATATTGCAGCTACTCGTTCTGGTTGTTCAGTCACATCCCAAAAGTCACAATCATCTAAAAATGGGTCTTATGTAGCTAGCACCTAACATACTTTTAGTAGGTGCAGAATAACAATTTTTTGATATGTCAATCCTAACCCTCACCTGACTATGCCATTCAAAAATTATGCCACTACGACATCACAATCACGTCATGGAGCCTGCTAAATACATGAACAATCGTCCGAAATGGCCCCGGCAGTGACGATAAAGCGACTAACGTCAGAATTCTCTATCCTATCGGGATCGTTGTGACGAGAAAATGAGAGAAAGAGCTGTTCGATTTTGGGTTCTCGTCTATGCGTCTTGGATGACAGTTCGTCGTAGTGACGTTATTTTTGGATGGTGTGGTCAGGTTAGGATTGACACATGAAAAAATTTTTATGCTACGCCCACTGGAAGTACGTTAGGTACGAAACTACATGAGACCCCTAAAAATTTACCTCCGACTACTGGACTTTCAGTCTGCCTGCTTACTGGCTTACTAGTGCAAAATGCATATACTGTAATTCTGATGTCGTAGTGACATAGTCTTTGAATGACGTAGTCAGGTGGGGTTAGAAATACCATTTATGCAAAAATGTTTGCGCCTCACTGACTAGAAGTACTTAAGTCCATGCATCCGATAAACAAAAAACTAATCCCATACCTGACATGGACTGGTAACCGGACGAGAGGCCGTGGTTCGCCATATGGTTAAGCCGTCTTATTGGCTTTTCTCTCCCCCGGGATAAATATGTAAATCCTATCCTATACTCATGCTGAGGAAACCGCTCTCTGGACTTGAAGTCTGGGGTTAGTTTGTTTTCATGACCATCCAGTCATCAGACCCTGGTCAGATGGTAGGGTAGCCAAAGATTCTCACAGACTGGAACGAGGACAAAAGGCAGTTCTTGGTGATTCAAAGTAAATTATTTCAAAAATATGTTGACATAAATGATTGCGCCATGTGAGTGAAAGATCACGTGATGGCTAACAACTGAACAAAGAAAACTTTATGGAAAACTCAACTCTAACTTACCCCAGTTCCAACTAATCTGAGGGGCTTCAGTGTGGCTAATCACTAATAACTTATAGTGAAAATGATATAATTATAAAATATCTGTAAAAAAACTACATACATGTACAATATTAGATGTATAAACTGGTGGATTAATGCCGATAAAACCTCGTAGATAATCATAAGAACCCAAATAAATTTGCTGTCCCAGCCACTGTTCTGACAACCGAGTACCTGGGGATTCCCCCAAAAATGATTTCATGATCGTGCCCACTAATGCACAATATAGTGGCATTTCCTCGTCCCTTCAAAATTATTCTTATCATCCTTTAGGCGATATCATTTATTTAAAAAAAAAAAACGTTTTAGTCGTGTACCTGTTCTCTGCGTGGCATTTTCACGCCTCATATCCGAAAGTGCTCTGTAGCAAGCAGAAACTAATGCATGGCGATTGGCGATAACGATGGGCCGTGAAGTAATTTAAGTACAATAGTTCGAAAATGCGTTATTATTTGAGTAATAATACAACTAATTTCAAATTTGAAATTATTTTATTTAAACGTTTTAGGATTGAAACTTTTCGCCGTTTTTTGCGCTCCTGTCCAAACGACCCCCAAGGCACCAACCATGGCTGCCACACCCTAAATACGCCATTGTCGATGAGGTCACTATTTTATATGAACTAAAACTTTTTTTGGTCGTCATTGCATACTTAAGGTATATGATGTGTATAAGATCAAAGGCGACATCTTTAATCTCCGATTTCCAGAGATTTGATCACTGGATATTAGGTGATATTTTGAAAGCGTGTCGATGACCTGAATGCAAAAAAAATTAACAAAAGCTGACGTTGAATCCAGTACTAGGAATGGCGATTGTTGGATTTTAAAAAGTTGCCGTGGCAGAATTAGCGGCGATCAATGATGAGTTTCTAGTAACTTATGAAACAGTTTGTGCTGTGGACATTTATTGAGAGCTTCTGAGAAACGCAAGACTCAAAATATTTGTTTATGTTCCTCCTCTTTCATGAATGCCTGGATCTGAAATGGACAAAGTACGGCCGTCTGACCCATTAGGTAATTCAATCTGGCCCGCCTGATGTTGCCACAACCAAACTGAAACCAAGTGTTGATGTTTTAGTTCCAAATTACCTCAGGAAATTTGTTGAGATTGTGGTTAAATTTAGTTTTGGCAGTAGGTTTATTGTTTTCCACTGTTGCTTTTGTAACACTATGAACATTGTTCATAAAATGTAACTCTTTACGTCATACTTACATGTCCCGCCATTAGGCAAAATTTTTGGCCCCTGATCGAAAAAACCGTGCCCACCTCTGCCCGAGATAGTGTGGCACCTTATTACTCAAATGGTAACGAAATACCAGAAAGTCTAAAAACGCAAACTGTAATTGAGAAGTTATTTTATGAGCCAAATTGCTTCATTTAATATGTAGAATCTTCTTTATTTAGACCCCATTGTCCAATTAGCCTAATTAAAACCACCCCTTCCCCATCCTATGCAGCATACAGTCCTCATCGGTAAATTTGAACGACGTGATGCATATTATATCACCACGCTGTACAATTATCTCAGAGGCAGCTCCAATGATTTATTGGACAAGTTAGTGGACATAACGATCGTTTTGCATTTTTGTTGTTGTTCTTGTTCTTATTTGTATTCTTCTTGGTATCCTTATGAAAAAAATCGCCTTTTTCATTGATTACTAGACCATTTGCTTTGAAATTTTCAGTGAGTAAAGACTAGATTTTTAACTAGGAGTCTATTACTTTTATTTATTTCAAATATTCCGGTGAGCTGTGTGGGATTCGTTTTTTTGTGTGCTTTGTCGTCATCAAATTTCTTACTATGAGGCGCTACGTGTCCATATATTTGAGCATAGCTCTCTTGTTTCACAAATCAGTTCCTCCATCAAGAGTTTTACAACTATAGAAATGAATAGGTAAGACTCCCATAGACTGACAACGA